AATCTGAACTTTATTTACAGGAAAACTAGTTACAGTGCTATTTAGCAACGACCTTTGACGAGTGAAGACTAAGTTGTCTGAGGGAATCTTACGGGTTTGAAGGAGGGGTAAGGCGAGGGGGTTGGGTACGGAAGACAAAGAGTTAAACAAAGGTGTGAAGTACTCTGCCTAGCGTACCAAGCGTCGCTGGAAACTGTTTATTCGCAGATTATTTCACTAATGTCTTTAGGGGGCCCGTAACACGGATGAGCTGGAATGGTTGCCAGGTCTTTCCACACCTAGCTGCTAATTATATCTCCTCTTCACGTAGCGTCCACCAGGCCTTTCGGTAGTTTCTCAAATTCTTTATGAGTTCACGCTTCAAAGAGAGGCGAAGCTCATTATACGCGCTGTCTGCCGGGATTGCCCAACGCGCGACAACAAGTCAGAGAGAGCTGGAGGAGACTCAGTGATTTACAACTCGGCGGGTTAGGCCACAACTGTGTAAACCGGGTGAGTGCATTGCGCTTTGAATGGATGTCTAGTGTTGATTTACGCTTCTTGGCATGAAGAAATGCACAGATCCAGTAGGTAGAGAAGGTATCTCGCGCCTTCCAGGTCAGGGTACAAAAGACTCAGCAGCTGGTTACTTGGAGACACTGAAGGATATGGCAGCGAACCGACAGCAGTGGCGTTCTTGTTGTCATTGGTTATCATGCCAGAATGCTTGAAACGTTATGTATGCAGAGTTTGATTGTGTACTCACCATAGAGGTTCACTCCCCCCCCCCTCAAAAAAGGTTCGATCCCTGTCCACCTTATATATTATCACTCACCGTGTATGCGCTGCAAGATTGGCAGCGATCAACGAAGATAGCTTCACTGTATTTCGTTGATGATGATGATTATGAGGAGGAGGATGATGAATATCCGTGAATCACAGGTCGCAGCTGACCTTATCACGGCTGTACTGACGGAATTTGTAGGTTGCGCCAAACCCATGAGTCACGGCATGTCGCACACTATCGAAAAAAGATTGCTGTTTTATGTTCTAAAATGCTTGTAACTTAGTCGAATTTAAGGCTCGCCGGTTTCCCCCTTCGCAAAGGAGTTTCCCAGTTTTTTCACCTTACTGAGATAACTGTGCTCACGTATTCCTGAACGAGTACGAATCTTTAGTGAACTAAAATGTTCGTTTGTTATCAGTAGCAGTATTGTTTAGGGGTGCCCTAATTCGCCATTCCTGTTCAGTTTTGTGGCATACAGGAAATTAAACAATGGCCTAAGCGTTATCCCAAAAGCTAAGTGGAAAGTCGGAGTAAAGCTATGATGAGGAATGTATGGAGGCGCACAGCACAACAGCCAGACTATACATATATTCCCTGAAGTTGTGACCGAAACGAATACAAAACTACACAGAACGTCATCTTAACACCACATCTCTCCAAGAACACTCAAGAAACAGGTGAAACTATAAAGGAACGAGCCTTCTCCACCTGTTAATTGGACATTGGATAATTCGGTTTGTTTATGTAAAGAAGAAGACATTTGACTCACTTGAGTGATGGACTGAACGCACCAGTCGCAGAACCAGGATTAATGAAAAACTTCCCGCCATATTCATAAGCTTCGAACTGGTGAGTGTGGCCAGAAATAAGTATATCCACATCCAGCTGCCTTTGAAGCATAGAAAGGCTTTGCTGGTCACCCCACGGTACCACCTGATACCCACTGGTTAAACCGATCTTGAAACTTCCAACGCTAAGGACTTTTGTGTGAGGAAAATCCAAACCCTGCCTGAGTGAGATAACGAGTTCGCAACAAACCTCGTCAAATTCTCCTTTGACCACGTGAACATCTCCACATATGAGTTTCAAGTAGTCGTAAGTGCACTTAGTCGTCAGATTACCAGTGCACAGTATATGCTGTATTTTTCCAGGCGCCAAAAGAGCCTTGAAAGCAGGGTGCACCGAGTGTTTTCTTTCAGGGATGTGAAAATCACCTATGACAAGAACCAACTGCATCGATGAAATGTATCCGGTAAGAGAAACTACCATTTCATGTGCGAGGCCGTAACCGGAACAGTGGATTGATCTCTTAAAGTGTATGCTGAAAGAAAAGTATTATAAAACTTTTAGGGGAATAACGGTGCGCATTAATACAGTTTGCTCTAATATTTGTTCCTTGTGGAGAATCTTTGATTTTTTGATATCTTGACAAATTTATCAGTTATGTAAAGGAATCTGCACCTTTAACTAAAAATTACAAAAATGAATATTTTTTCTAACAGTGCTACAACACTAAATTATGGAATTAGGGAATTTGCATTTATTTCATGATTTTAATCCAAAATAACCGAGTAATAATTGATTGCAATGTGTCCTTCTCATATGTATTGCCGTCCTCTTAACAGCGAATTATGTTATTCTGCCTTAAAATGAACCCATAATTGGAAAACTAATTCACAAAGTGAAGACAAATGTAACTTAAAGTAGGAAAAAGCTGGTCTATAAGTCTTCCAGTGTTAAGGGCAGTGGGAAGTTCCGTCTCATTGTGCTCTACTGGGCTGATTAGGTGTTGATACCAGACCAATACTCCTGCATAGCTCTCTCGAGTTTTAGCTTAAAGATGCTATCGTTTGGCTCTGCCACCACGTCCTCCGGAAGCGTATTCCAGCGATTTGTCGACCTCCTTGACAGATGACAGATCAGCGGCAGACCGTTTGACTGCATCTTGAGGTTGTTGTTCCTCAGGGAGAATTCCAACAGCAATTCTGGGCCAAAGTCGCCCCGGATGATGCGTCTGATGTAGACCAGTTGGCCTCTCAGTTCTGTATGACAAGGACAAACAATCCCGTTGCATTCAGTTGACCCTCGTACCTGATCCCACGTAGTCCTTCGACGAGGTGTGTAGCAGCCCTTTGTACTCACTCCAGTTGGGCAACCTTAGAAGCCGTACAAGGAAAGACCGCCGGACCGCCATATTCCAATCGAGGGCGTACGTGGGAAGCGTACAGCAATTTAAAGACCGCCAGGGGTAACCCACCAAACGAACGGCGGATAGCATCCAACGTAATCCAAGCAGAGGCACAAGCTCTGTCTGTCTGTGCATGAGTTTTCGGGTTGCTGGGGAGGACAACACCCAAATCTCGTTCCTTAGTTGACTGCCAGAGCACGGTACTTCTAAGAAGGTAGCTGATGGTGAGACCATGTCCTCCTATCCTCCTGTGGATGCATTTGGAGATATTCATTGGTAACCCCCACACCCTCGACCAGTTCATCAGAGCATTCAGGTCATCCTGAAGAAACATCTGGTCCGCCTCTCTCCCGATTGTTGACCAGAGCTTGAGGTCGTCTGAATAGATTAGACACGGGCAAATCAACGTTGATGGTATGCCGTTCGCAAAGATCAGGTACGGCAGTGGGCCAAGATCGGAACCTTGTGGGATACCACTGGTGACTGTGTACCACGCAGATTGCGTCTGTGAAACTCTCACTGAGAAGGATCTTCCTTTCAGGAAATCCACCAGCCAATGAAATGCGGACCTTGTGACACCCAGCGCAACCTTGTCAAACGCCTTGCTGAAGTCAACGAAGATAGCGTCCGTACCATATTCCTCGTCATTGCCTCTAGACCAACGTTCCCGGGCAAGCCAATTGGTCATGCAGGAACGCCTCTGGCGGAATCAGTGTTGTTCCTTGCACATCCACTGGTGTTGCTCAAGGTAATCCGTAAGTCGTGAAACCATCTATCGTTTCATCGTCTTGCCGAAAACCGATGTGAGGCTCACGGGGTGGTAGCTGCCTGGTGCAGCCTTCGTTCCGCCCTTGTAAATCGGGACCACAACCGCTTTCTTCCACTCTTGGGACAGTCTGTCCGAGCGCATTGATAGGTTGAAAGCAACGTAATTGAAGGGATGAGCTGGACCACCAGTTCCTTGAGCATGAGGGGATGAACACCATCCGGGCCTGGGGACTGACTCGTCTTGATCAGGTCAGGTTGCACAGGACTGAATATGGCCACGGCCAATCGATGGTATGCTTACTACGTGGGCACCCAACTCTGCTGATATAAGGATGAGAAATAGGATCTCATCTCACCAACTTGGTGAGNACCGAGTTTCTTCACAGAAGGCAACAACTAACGCCTAGGCTCACCTTCGTAGCACCCTGAGATAACCCATAGGCGAGTACCAGTCAATTTTTAGGTAGACCTGGATCAACTGTGGTCTGATTTGTAGGCCTTGAAGAAAATTTCATTGAGTTTAACCACACGCTCCGAAAAATTAAACCACGCGCGGTCACGGTCAAGGTCAGGTCGCACAAGACTGAAAATGGACACGGCCAATCGAGCGTCCAGAATGCCTTCGATGGTAGGCTTACTACGTGGGCACCCAACTCTGCTGATATAAGGATGAGAAATAGGATCTCATCTCACCAACTTGGTGAGTGAATTGTTAGACGTGAGGGTTCCATTACGTGCACCAGTGAAAAATGGAAATGGCATCCTAAACAATTGGCACACCTATACTCATCCACACTGCCAGAGATGGGAATAGTTCTACCCATCGCTTATCAGGTGCAGTCTTAAAGGCCTGCACTGTTTGAAGGTCGACAATTTCCTTTGGAAGCCGAGACCAACTATCGACTATCCTATTGCTAAAAAAGTGTTCCCACATGTTTAGTCGACACCCCTGCTTCATCAGCTTGAACTCATACCCCCTAGTTCTATGTTGGGCTCCTCCATGATTTTGAAGGTTTCTATCAGGTCCCCTCGTAGTCTCCTTCTTTCTAATGAGAAAAGCCCTAGAGCCTCTAGTCTTTCCTCATATGTCCTTCCCCTTTGGCCTTCAACCATTCTGGCGGCTGATCTCTGAACTTTCTTTCTTGAATAAGGGTGACCAAGCCCGTACACAATACTCTAGGTATGGTCTGACTATGGCTTTTTAAACGGGAATGAAGACTTCCGGTCGTCTGCATGTTAGGACCGACCATAATTTAAATGATTCCCTCCTAGCCTTGCGCGCCGCTACTGCACACTGGTGAGACCACTTAAAATTGTTCGATATCACTACCCCCAAGTTCTTTACCCTAGTTCCAGGTTCAATAGCGAACTCGTGCCCATCCGAGTGAAATTCCAGTCTGTAAAACGCCCCTGTGAGAACATAATTCTTGGTTGCGTTCAGACTTAGGCTCCATTCCTTTGCCCATCCAGCAACTTGTTCTAAATCCCGCCCCAGATCACCTTTCCCATTCGAACCAACCACTTTGACGTCATCTGCAAAAATGTAGCATGATGATGTCAGAGTGCTTGGTAAGTCGTTTATGCAGAGAAGGAATAGGAGCGGTCCTAGTAATGAGCCTTGTGGAACTCCGCTAGTAAGCTGAACTTATGTTGACCTTTTCTCACCAACCGTCACATAAAATGATTGTTGTGAAAGGCGCTTGTTCACCTGTGTAACTGTCCTTGGATTCCGAGTTGTTCTAATTTGGCCAGCAACAGGGGGTGATCCACTGAAGCCTTGATGAAGTCCAGGTAGCATACCTCTACGGTTTTATCTCCATCTATCCTTGCAGTAACAGCCTCCAAGAAGCACAGTAGTTTTCTTAATCATAAACGTTGCTTAACGAAACCATGCTGTACCTCTGTCATAAGGATGTTCTACTTCAGGTGGTTCACTACGTCCGTTCTAACCATCTTTTCTAGTACCTTGCATAGTACTCTAGTTAAACTAACAGATCAAGTTTTTTACATCCGTCTTCCTACCACACCTGTGTATGGCTACTACCGAAGCTGTTTCCCAGTTAGACGATAAGATCCCGTCAGCTAGTGATGCCCTAAACAGGCTGCGAATAGGCCCTGCAAATATATTAGCAATTGGCTTGATGATCGTTGGCCTGATTCCTTCCGATCCGGCCGCTTTGGATGCCTTAAGACCGCCTAGTACGGTTGCCACTTGATTGACTGTCACTCGTAGTTCCTCCACTACGTCTGCCGCCGAGGGCTGAGAAGTACGTGACTCACCAGTGCCTAACCTTTACACGCTGCTAAAGTAAGCGCAGAATGCATCAGCTTTACAGTTATAATCCTATTTCCCTTGATCAACCATCACGACGAGTCTGCACCTTGACGTGGTGTGATGGCTTGCGTGCCTCCTTGACCCTGCGAGCTACACAGGA